ATCAGCAGCATACCACCTTACCTCCAATTCTCTTGCTGTCGGCAGCAAGCCTCAGGTGGGCCATCCCTACCCAGAACCCTGCTGATTCAGTTTAGTTAGGTGTTACAAATTGACCATTAGTTTAATTTACCACAAAGTAGAAGTCCAAATTTCGCATTTAGTCCAGGTTGTCACCAACAGGAGGACTCTTCATTGCTTGGTTATTTATTTCGTCCTCCTGATATGATTAGCAGTTGTATTTCTCCATGTGGTCTCCATTGATACCAAGTGGGGGAGGGAGTTTTCATTCCTTCTGGTTTTTATAAAAGTGAAGTCTTTGTCCTGGACTTGAGTCTATCCCAGTGTGATACATGCGTGATGCCTTGTTTTTAATGCATTTGGGTGAATATCCAAAGTCTCTGTGTAATCTGTACAGCCACTATGGGAGTAGCTCTCTGCTGGCTATTGGAGATGATAGATGTAGCCATTTAATCTTCCCTGTCACCACCTTTGTTGGGATTATAGTGCCTTCTCTTCTGTGATGCAGTTGTATGGTTAAGGTACCTGTTTGGCTTTTATTGTAGTGTGGAGTATAGCGCATAGTTTTGTTTTCTGTGACGTTTGGTTGGTATAATCTTATTTGGCTGCTTCTTTTCCTGATCTTTTGACCAGAAGTCAGAATTTTATTGGAGCACATTTGTCTGTGCTTGTATTTGAAGGTTGCTGACTTCTTCAACTCTTAATTCTGGGATATATGAGGCAGAAACCAACCAACCCATCCACCCCACATAAAAAAGAAAACCTCCAAAACAAGCAAAAAAACATTCCCTGCACACAATTATTTCATGTTATCACATTAAATTCAACAAGGGTCTTCTTGTTATGTGCTCTCAAGTCTGGCGGTCTCTAGTTGGTTTGCCTCCTTTCATTCTTATATTGTCTTTGCATATATTGTCAGGAGTTTTCAGTTATACTTGAGAAGAACAGTGAATTATATCTACTCAGTATTCCCAGAAATGAAGTACTAGTTTCTTTTTTTTTTTTAATTTAAAAATTTCCCAGACTTTTTTTTTTTAAATGAATTTAGGACAGAGTGTACAGGGTCTCACTACATAGGTTGAACTCCTAGTGATCCACCTATGTTAAGCCTCCCAAGCTTGGTGGCATGCACCACAACGTTGTCTCAATTGCTGTCTCAGCATGACCTGGCAGCTGCATCGGCCTAAGCAGGCACTTTAATCTGCTGAGCTATTTGACCAGCCCTCTCCCTGCTCTTCTGTTTTTTTTGTGTATTTTTATTCTGTAGATTTACTTTGTTTTATCCAGACAATGATTACATGGTTTTACCCATATAGTTTTCCTCCTTTCTTCTCTTTATTCTTTTTCTTACTCTTTTTGCAGTTCAAACTTTATTTTTCCACCTTAAAGAAGAATCTCTTAGGATGTGTACTCTTGGATTTTGTCTGAAAATTTGTTTACGTATCTTCATATTTTTGTGTATGAATTTCCAACTTGGCCTTGCTCTTCTCTTTCTTTCTTTCCCCTGCCCCAAGACTTAAAAGAATTGAGTAGGAAGTGTCAGAACTAGAAGATAATAAAATCTTCTTTAAAAATGTGGTATGATTCAAAAACTAATGAGTGTGTAATAGGTTACATTATCAATTAGAGGAGACAGACAGATGGACAAATATATATAACGGATAATCTGTTAATTCACCTGCGAAGTTTGATTTCTCTTATATGCTATTTTGATTCTATTGTTGTTATGTATAATACTTATGTAGTTTACTCAGTTTTTGAGTTCTTGGAAGGTAATCTTTTTTATTTTATTGAGAAACAGCATTGAGACAGTTTCAAAATTAATAGAGTTTCAGTAATTAATATATTGCATATTATTATCTTCTCAGTGGTTATTCATAGTACAAGATGCAGACATGATATCTTGTCCAAATACTGTTAGTACAAATCTTTCTTCTTATTGAATTAAGAGAAAGCTGTATATTTATCCTATTTTGTATATACAGATACACAATGGTCCTTCCTTTGTATCTCTTTTTTTTGTTTAGTTTTGTTAGAGATGGGTATTCCATTGCCATTTAAATATTGTAGGTGCGTGAATTCAGCAAAATAATCTGATATAGTCCAGTAGTCCATAATAGTAGTGGGTTATTTGTAGGACTGGCAATGTCAGAAGTTATTGACTTGAGCCTTTTACAACTCAGCATATTAATACAGTTTTACTTTTTATACCTCATTTTTATACTTTTCTGCTGGATGGTTAAGACCAAGATAAAGTTAGACCTATGTATCTAGAAATATATCTTTTGTATCTGATAAGGTCAGTCAAGTCTCGTCAGTATTTATCCTGTTACCCTGTACTGCAGTTTGTAGATCCTTTGTCAGTGTCAGCCATGTGGATGAGTCATGGCCATTGCTTGACCAATTTGCTCTCTGTGAAAGCCTGAGAGAATGTTTTCTCTCCCATGTGACTCTCCTTAGGCTCACTCTACATCATCGATCACATTGCTCAGTGGCCCTATAATATCCTTGATCAGAAAATTTGGGACACAACTGAGTTACATGATGTTACAGTATAGGTTCTCCTATGTCCTGAATTTGGAAGGTAATAATTTTGAAAAGTCAGTGAAGTTTGATTTTATCAAAAAACCTAAAAAGATGGATCTCAAAATAAGATACACAAGTGGCAGAAAGGTATAGAAAAAATGTTAAATATGAGTTATCAAGGAAATTCACATTTGCTCACTCACTCGCTTGCTTGCTTGGTTTCTTCCTTGCTTGCTTGCTTGCTTGCTTGCTTTCTGGTACCACAGATTGCTCTCAGGAGCAATCTTGTGCTTGCCAGGCAAGTGCTTGTGTAGTCACATTCATTTTCAGTGTCTTCTATTAATGATATTGTGATGTCAATATACATTTTTTTTTTTTTTTTTTTTTGGCGGAACTGGGGATTGAACTCAGACCCTTGTGCTTGCTGGGGAAGCACTTATTCCACTGAGCCATCTCCAAGGCCCCTTCAATATACATTTTTGAGTATTTTTTTCATAATTTTATTGATAAACAGATAGCAATGAGACAGTTTCAAATAAAATCGGTAGGACAGTTTCAATAACTAACACACTGCATATATTCTTCTTAGTGGTTAATTGCTGTACAAGATGCGGACGTGTGATCCTATTTACAAATACCATTAGAACAAATCATTCTATTCATTAAGAGAATGTAACTACATATCTATCCTAACCACTTTGAATACACAGATACAAAATGGACATTCATATGTATACCCCTTTTTTTTCTAAGTTCCGTTATTTGAACATTATAGGTATGTAAATTCAGCAAAATAGTCTAAAAGAGTCCAGTAGCCCATAATAGCATTGTGTCTTCTGTTTAACTGGCAGTGCCAGAAATTATTGACCTGAGTCCCCCACAGCTCAACATAACAGCATGGCTTTGTTTCCTATATTTCGTCTTCATACTTTTCTACTGGATGGTTAAGACCAAGATAAAGCAGGATCTATGCAACGAGTTGTAGCTTTTGGGTCTGAGAAGGTCAGTGAAATCCCCTCAGGATTTATCCTGAGATCCTGTACCTCAGATTGTAGAAACTTTGTCAGTGTCAGCCACGTGGATGAGTCACAGCCATTGCTTGGCCAATGTGCTCTCTGTGAAAGCCTGAGAGAGTGTTTTCTCTCCATGTGACTCTCCTTAGGCACACTCTACATCATTGATCACTTTCCTCTTTGGCCCCATAATCTTCTTGATCAGAAAATTTGGGACACTACTGAGGTACATGACATTACAGTACAAGTTCTCATATGTCCTGAGTCTTAATTGACCTTAGAAGGTTAGGGCCAAAATGTTGGCTTTCCTTGTAGCCCTCCTTTTTCTCTAATTTTGGTCTGCAAACTTAGGTTGTTAACTATCCAGAAGACAAGCTTATTGTTATTATCAAACGACTTAGGCTTTAAGCTTAACCTCACTATGTCTCTGCATTTCAAACATCTTAGGCATAATAAGGAACAGGTATTTTTCATCAAGTATTGATATGTTGAACTTTAAGTCCCTACATAATATGATAAAAAAATTTAAAAATTAGATTATATTTTAAAAATAGGATAAAGAATTACATACTTCTCATGTTTGCACATAAGTCCAAAAATCTCACCATATACAACCTTGAAGCAGGACAGTCCCACAATATTCCTTTTCCTGTTTCTTGCTTTCATTCACCACTCCCTTCTTCTTTAACATCCACCTACCCGAGAGACATTATAGCAGTAACTGGCATGTCATGACAAGCCGCCCATATTCAGACTACCAGAATGACAGGCACTCCAAACATGAAACTACTGTTACAAATTACCATCTGCAGTGCAGTAGCTTAGTTCACAGGTATCAGTATATATAGTTAGTCAGGGTGAGAATCTTTCCAATTAACAGCTAGATTAAAAAATCTTCTGAATATTCTGAGGATCATTGCCTTGCTCAACTTTTACATATAACTGTATGGCTTGACATTGTCATGTTTCCTAGCTCTTCTCCTTTCTGTATTTGTTTTTTAGTATCCAGAATAGTTTCTATTTCTAGAATAGTTTTAGGTTATTTTGATTAAACTAACTTATCAAACCAAACAAATGATTTGGTATTATTTTCTAACGAAATTAGCTTGTTTTATTTCCTGGTGTTTCTGTGAATTTAATGAAACTATTGACTGGATAGAAAGTCTCTGTCCCAAATTGTTGACCATACTCCATTATGTTCTTTATGTGCCCATTTTCTAATTTTTGCAGTGCTGATGCAGTGCAGGTAGGTGGAGAAAGTCTGAATTAACTGAAATAAGATATTTAAATATCTCTCCACAGAATTTTATGGTGACCAATGTCCATATTTGCATAACTGTTTTGGACTATGGTGTAATGGAAGAAAAAGAGTCACAGTTACAAATAACAACTAGGTTTTTCACTATTTTTGTATTATCACCTATGTTGAACTTTCTCTTTTAGAATTACAAGATGAAAACTTAAAAGAATCAAATGAGAAGAAGAATCTCTTGGCATCTGAACTAGAAAATATTAAAATGTCCTTGCAAATAAGTATGGTATGTTTAAAAATGACTACTGTGTAATAAAGCACACCAACCATTAGTCAACAAATTTACTGAATACTGAAACAAGGACCTAGTGCTTCAACTAGAGAAGATGCAATCTCAGTTTACAAAATGCTTATATTAGAGACATTGGATAAAAGCACATTGAAAATATAACTAAATTATAAGACAAACCTAGGTACCAACAGAGTGATTCAGGCTAATTAATTGCTAAAAACAGTTCTAAGAATTAAAGGAACTCTATGGACTGGGTTGGGAAGATTTCAAGAACAAATTGGAACTGTACTTGAAATTTGGAGGATGGTAATTTGAGAATAATAGTAATGTGTTGACATTCCTGGGTGACTAAGGGGGGTTCATGGATAGGACAAGGTGGAGGGCAAGAAGGAGCAGCAAATGTACAGTAGTAGGTGAGGATTTTTTTTTTTTCTTCTGGCTCATTACTTTTGTTCTTATTTTTCTTATTTCATTCAGAATACTCAAAAGGCTTTAGAAGAAGATTTACAGAGAGCAACAAAAGCAGCATGTCAGCTTAATGAAGAAAAAGAAGCTCAAGTGGAAGAATTTGATAAAGCTAAAGTTGCTCATTCATTTGTGGTTACCGAACTAAAAACTACTATTTGCAGCTTAGAGGAATTATTAAGAACAGAACAACAAAGGTGAAATATTTTTATTTTAAATAATAAATTGACTTACAATATTGAGTGTCATTTCTATTGTTTTTATGTATAGAGTAGGAATACATCTCAAAAATTTTTTTTAGGTAGGCAGGTAGTATAAGAAGATATTTTAAAGCTGTTATTCTCTAGAACAGTTTCTATGCATGCTTTGTTATAAAGTCAGGTTATATAGACTGGTTCCTAAAGTGCTGATTTAGTGGTATGGCATATAATTATTGAAGCTATGTGTTGCTGTTGGCATTATAGGAGTAACCTCTTCAATGGGAATTTATTTTACTGGGGTTTGTAACCTTTTTTCTTTGTTTCTTTTTTTTTTTTTTTTTTGGTATTTTAGGGAAGGGTCTATAGTGTGTTCAGGGTCTCACTACTAGATTGAACTCATAGTGATTCTCCTTTTTAAGCCCAAGTCTTTCTTTTCCTTTTGGGCGGAACCAGGGATTGAGCTCAAACCCTTGCACTTGCCAGGCAAGCACTTATTCTACTGAGCCATCTCCCTTGCCCAAACAGGAAGCAGGTTTTTTCTTTTTTGGCGGAACCAGGGATTGAACTCAGGTCTTTGCGCTTGCCAGGCAAAGTGCTTATTCTTCTGAGCTGTCTCCCCAGTTGATTCTCCTTTTTACAGCCTCCCAAGAGCTGGGATTACATGCCTGCGCCACCACACCCAGTCTCAATCCCTGTCTCAGTGTGTCCCCAGGGTGGGCCCAGCCCCTGTGCCTGTTTACAGGCGCTTTAATCCGCTGAGCTGTTTAGCTGGACCTTATAACCTTTTTCTTTTCTCTTTCTTTCTTTTCTTTTTTTTTTTTTTTTGTGGAGCTGGGCATTGAACTCAGGTCCTTGTGCTTGCCAGGGAAGCGCTTATTCTACTGAGTCATCTCCCTGGCCCCACTTTTTTTCTGATGTATAAATTTAACAACTATTCTGAAAAGTAATATGTAATACTCCATACTTACTAAATTAATGGCCATGCCTAACCATATCTAACACAAGATATATGCATTTGTCTAAATAGCAGTCCAAAACTTAAAGTGTGAGAAACTGGTTCTGTTATTCATGACTTTATATTAAGGGAATATTGATATCAAGATGTTGTGAGGCTGAAATAATTATTATTTTTGAAATAATTATTTTATCCACTTAGCGTTGAAGTTAATTTTAGTGGAGTAAAAGAAATAATTTCTCGAGACAGGATCTAGTCTTACCAGTATTTCTTATCCATTACTTGTGTATGGAGAGGGAAGAAAAGCTAGCTTTTCTAGCTACACCAGTCTTGCACATTCTTTATTGGTCTATGTAGACAAATTTTAAAATTATGAGTTATCTTAGATGCATCTGGTCTAGTACTTCTGTTTTGAAGTTTGAGGAAACAGAGCCAGAAGAGTCAAGAAAATAATACATGTTGTCATCTTTACAAATAATACATGTCATACATGTTGTGGTGTTCCTAAGGTAGAATTTAGTAGTAGTTATATGTTTTTCAAAATTGTATGATTCGTTAATTTGGTTATCAGTAAAGATAAATTATAACCAGTCAACTTTTTAAGGTTTTTATTTAGATGTAGTTAATATGAAATTATGTGTTTATAATACTAATATCTTATTTTAAAATATACTGTATACAAAGTAGGTACTCAGTATATGTTTAATACTATAATTTAGTGCATGATTTTTTTTTGCTTGTATCAATTGATAAATTATACTAGTTTTAGTGTTTATGGTAGATGAATTCTGATGAAAAGAACATTTTACATTGTAAAATAATATATTTTACAAGATTGGAAAAAAATGAAGATGAACTGAAAATACTTACTGTGGAGCTTCAGAAGAAGTCAAGTGAGCTGGGTAAGATTTATATAATAATGTGTGCTTTGATAATACTGGCTAATTATGAGAATACAATTGAGTAGGGAAAATTTGAATTTTAAATTCTTCAGTTTTATTATGTAGTTCATAGATACTGAGAAATATAGGTTGCCTAAGAGGTGTTTGTGTCCTTAATAATTTTAGTGAAAAGTGCATGCTGTATTTTAAGTAATTATTATTTTAAATGTATTTGGTACAGGGTCTCGCTGTGCAGCTTGGACTTGTGATGATACTTCTAGTTTCAGTCTCCCCAGTGCTGGGATTACAGGCATGATCCACCACTTCCAGTGTGGGTGGCCATCTCATAGTGCCTGGGAGTGGGGCTGACATGGCACGTGGTGCTGAGAATTGAACCCCGGTCCCTACACTTGCCTAAGCAGGTGCTTAGTCCACTGAGCTATCTTGTTGGTCCTATTTTTAAGTAAAGTTTAAAATTTAATTGCATAATCTTCTTGCCTTGAGCTAAATAGCAAGACTCTGTCTCAAAAAGACAGAAAAAGGCTGTTTTGTTGAATGATACATATATGCTTTTCTTTTTGAAATGCTTAATTTTCCATTGTTAATACATTATCATTGAAAATTATACAAATCAAGTAATTTCATTCTTAAGATTATTTTATATTAGAATTGTTTGAAATACATTCCTTATCCAATACAAAAATCTTTCATCACAACATTGTTTTAAACCACATGTATTTATTTTCTTTAGAATTGGTTAATGCTGTAAACTAAGGAGTAATTGTGTTCCTTAAAGTATCCGAATTGGATATTTACCTATAAACGGTTCAATCTAATATTGCAATTAATTGACTTATTTGTCCTCAAAAAAATCAGTTGCATTTTGACTTTTCACATGTTAGAGTAATAGGTTATGAGAACTTTGAGTACCATGGTGTAAGAAAGATGATGCTTTGGAGAAATTTCTGATTCTTATGAGAGAAAGATTGAATGCATAAAAATGTTTACGCAATGAAGGATGACTAAGAGTTATATAAGGGTAAAGGAAGAAAACAATTTCTATTTTTTATGTTTTGTGATGAATAATATACATACTTATGTTGTATAAAACATAAGTATTTTTTATGTATTTATGTACTTGGAATAAATGCTCATAAATTTCTTGTTGATGGAGAGGTGTTTATGCTGATGCTAAGAGAAAGCCAGTGATAACATTGTGGACTGCAGACTTAGGAAAGGCTTTATGGAAGAAGTAGACTTCAAGGCAGAGAGAGGCTTTAGATAGTGAAAGAGCATAAAGGGGTATAGAAAATATTTGTGGGAGAGTATAGTATTAATAGTCATTTAGGGACTCAGCCTTATTTACTTCTTTGACTAGTAGTTCTTGAAAATCATATCTTAGAAGATGTTCTTTTTGTTTCTCTTATGTGTCACTGCTAATAATCTAGTGGTGCAGTTTTTAATTCTTAGTATCTAATTTATAAAATAGAACTGATCTTCAGAGCTCCTATTTCTCTTTTTCTTTCTTTCTTTTTCTTCTTTTTGTACAGGAAATTGAACTCACAACTAAGTGCTTTGAGCTTATCCCTGTCCCTCAGTTCCTATTGAATAACTTTATTTTTCTTGTTTCTGGGGATTGAACCCAGGTTGCACTCTCACTCTATATGTCCAGCTAATTCAATTCTTTTTTTGAGACAGGGTCTCTAAATTGTCGAGACTGGCCTTGCTCTTGTCATCTTCTGGCCTCAGCCTCTCAAGTAGCTAGCACTATAAGTATATGCTGCCATATTAGCTTTAAATAACTTTGGTCTTTCTGTCTCTTGATTGGCGGAGGTTTGAGACAGGGTCTGACAGTATAGTTCAGGCTAGCCTCATACACATGGTGATCTTTATCTCAGCCTTACCAGTGCTGAGATTACAGGTATATACCAAAACTTTTGAGTCTTTCCCTTTTCTTTCATACTCAACAGACCCAGAACACTTCAAGTTCTCATTTCCTTAGTTTTTGAGTTTAAGCACATGCTTTTAGCATAGCACAGCTTGTATATATATGTATATATATATGTATGGAACACAAACTATGTCAGAACAATCATCAAACTGTGCTCTAGATCACTCTAATTTGTCTTTATATTTACTAAATGTTATTTACTCAGCTTGTATTTGCTTTCCCTTTTTATTTTTGGTAATATTTCTTTTGGTACTATTTCAGTAATCCTCATTTTTACTGTTTTATTTACTGACTAAACTTTACTTTCTGTTTTTGGTCCTATTAAGTTTATATCTTGGTTGTAGAGTGTTTCTTTTTCATCTGTCTCTTCAGCAATCTTAATTTGAAAACCACTTTTTATCCATTCCCCTCTCAGATATAGCATGTACTCTACTTTTTATATGTTGATGTTAGAGCTGGTCCAGACATGTTAGACCAGTACTAATTGCAGTAGTTCGAAAATCAGTTTTTTTCCAGTTTTATATACCTTTTTCCATTCTCTATATTGATTCTAGAACATTGTTTAAAAATATATGTTTGTTCTGTGTTGCAAATTTAAGAACTATCTCATTGCAGACTTTTCAGCTCTTTAATATTAGCTGCCTTTTCATAGTTGGTTTAAAGAGTAAGTTCATACAAAGTAAGTTAAAGCTAATATAAAAATCTTTGTCCAATGATTACTTCACAACCTCCATTGTCACTCCTTCCTCACCTAGATCCCTCCCATCTGCCCTCTGGGGAGGAATTTCTTTTGGCTCCTGTTTTCCCAGTTTTTTTTTACTTGCTGCTATTCACTTTGCTACATATATGTCTCCTCTGATCCTCAGTTCAATCTAAATTAAGCTCTAAACAGGTCTTATTCCTATGGTCATTTTTTTTTCTACCTGCTGTGATCATTTTTATGTTTCTACAGTGGCATAAGCTATTGACCTGGCAAGTGCAAGGTCGTGAACTTGATCCCCAGTACCACCAAAACCCCCCCAAAACAAACAAACAAACAAACACCAAAGAAACCCCATACACACAGAAAAACAAAACCAAATTTTCCATGTAGTATAGTTTTCCTTAAATGTGTTCTAATACTTCTGCTTTGATTACTTGATACCTAATACTGCTGTTGGCCTAAGACTTATTTATTCCTGATTTAGCTTTGTATATATTATGAGATAATAGACATTTTCCTTTTCTCATGAGTTTTGCATTCTATTAGGAGATAGATAAAACAATCTCAAATAAATAATTGCAAATTGGGCTAAGTGCTTGAAAGAAATAAAAATAAAGCAGTATAAGAAAATACCAGAGGGCTGGGTGTGGTGACACACACCTGTAATCCTAGAATTTGGGAGGCTGAGCAGGAGGATCATTCTGAGTTGTAGACCAACCTGGGCTACAGAGTGAGCTCAGGGTCAGCCATCCTGAACTGTACAGGGATTATCTTGAGAAAAAGAAAAGAAAAAAAAATATTAGAGCCCAATTTAGATTTGTTAATCAGATGTGGCTTTCCATTGAGAACTAAAAAACTAAGTGAGATTTAAAATGTTAGGTAAGGTTGGGTGTTGGAGAGAACTTTTTCAATCCAGGAACAGTATGTAGAAATGCTGTGAGGTGTTAAGAAGCCTGCTTGACTCAAGTGATTGAATGAAAGTCTTTGTGACTGAGCATAATAAGTGATACATGGAGAGAAATTAATAGGAGCACAGGGGGACAGTTTAGGTAAAGTAAAAAAGATGAATTTTGATTTTATTCTAACACTAAAGGAAAACTATTGAAATATTTTAAGCAAGTGAATGACATACTTTGGTGTATTTTTTTTTTTTTTAAGGCTCCCTGTATCTTCTATAGTGCACATAAACTTAGTGGGAAGGAGGGAGGGAGGGAGGGAGAGGGAGAGAGCGTGAGCGAGCAGACAAATGGGATTTCAGATTGAGTGGTCCAGGCATGAAAGAATATCATTTAAAAATAGAAATCATATCACCTTTTTGCTCTCTTATTTTGGGAGGCTCATTTGAAGATAGTTTGTCTTATTTTACTCTATGAAAAGTTTCATCTTATTTCTTCCTTTTAAATTTTACTGTTCTCTGGAACTCTTGGTGGAGAGACTTGGGAAAGAAAAGCTTATGCTTCCTTCTTCTTTATTCTTTTTCCTAAATATGGGAAAAGGTTTTTAGGTTTTTTCCCCTGCTGCAATTATTTAGCTGTTTCTATTTTACTATTTTTAAATCTTTTGTCAAATTTTACACTCCTAAGAGCTCTAGATAATACTGTCCTGTTGGATCATATAAGTTTAGCATAGTACTGCATTTGTTTACTCTGAATTTTTCTATTGGAATTTTAGTTTTTCTCTTAGTTGAATTTGGAGCCTCTCTTTCATGGTTTTGATTTTCTTCACAAATTGTTTGTACCTGATGATTTAGTTATTTTTAGCATTTGAGAATCCATCTTTACATATGTGTATTGTAATATGATTCTTTTGATTATGGGGAACTTATAGGAGGAATTGGAAGGAGAGGTAAACTTGGTAGCTTGTCCTTGGATGTGGGGCAGCATTGGCAAACCTCTTAGTGCTTTCAATGATAAACAACCCATTGCGGCATGCAAGCTCTATAGCTTTACCATCATTGCTATAGGGGATGTTTATTATTGCTTGGGGATCATTTACCTATTTGCAACATGGTAGTATTCTTGGTCTTAGCTCCCAGAATTTTTGCTTTAAACTGAGTTATGCTTTGTAGTGGGAGGTATGGTTCCCGGGTTTGGTTGTTCCACTAGCATAACTGATTTAGTGTAAGAACCCCACCACCCCCAAGAGTTCTTTAGTTACTTGGTTTTTAAGGGTAGTTTGTCTTGTTTTGGTAATGTTCTTTTTTTTAATTCCTTTCCTTTTACCTTCTAATTTTATGGGATTGAAATAAGAATGTAGAGTTGCTCAGTCCATTGTCTTAAAGCAGACCTTAAGTTTTTAAAGATGATTTTTACCTAAATGAAGCTTTCTGATTTTTACATGTGATAGGTTTGCAATTGTTTTTCTTAAAGATGGTGCACAATTACTACAGACTTTTATTTTAAAATGCACAGCCTGATAAAGTTTTAGTAATTGTTATCAATAGTTAATAACCCATTCATCAAGGAGACGGGGTATTTTAGACAATACATTTTCTTCTGCAGGCAGTTAACAATGTAAGAAGGAAAAAAAAAAGATTTGGGCTCTAAAGATTTTCAGTTCTTTAACATAATATTCATTGAAATAGAGAAACATCCTAAAACATTATTTAGGGCAGGAAGAACTTGTCTTAACAAAGGAGTATGAGGTAAAGTGGAAATATAAAAAAGGAATAATGCAGGGTCTTTATAATCAAAGAAAAAAGTAGGAGGGTGGTTAGTAGTATCAGATACTACCAGGCTCCATAATGATGAAGACTGAGGAGATAATATCACATTGTGGTTATTGATGAATTTTTTCCAGTACTAGAGATTGAACACAAACCTAGCACCTTCCCACTGAGTTATATCCCCAGCTCTTTTTGTTTTTCTTATTTAATTTTTTGAGACAAGATCTTTCTAAGTTGCCTGGGCTGGGTTTGAATTTATACTGCTCTGGCCTTAGTCTCATGCTGAATGATAGACGTGTACCACCATGCCTGGTTTATTGTTGATCTTTGAGAACATAGAGAAAGAGACATGTAGTTGGCAGGAATTTGTAAAAATGGGAAATCTGAAAATTGAAAGGGCAGCAAGGTTAATTACATAATTTTAATTTATGCGTAAATGGGATATTTAGGTGGAATAGTAGAAATAATTTTTTTTAACTTAGAATGGTGTGTACTGACAATATAATAGCTGAGATGTCAAAGTCCAATGCACAGTGTTAAACAGCTTCTAAAAAGATCACTTTCAGGTTTGGGGTAAAGACTAAGAGGTTTGGTAAGTTTCAATAGTGATAAATGGAAAGTAAAAGCACTAGCTGACCTCATTTTAAATATATTTTATGTAGAACTATTGCTTATTTTGCTTTACAATTTTTGTGTTCATTTAGCTGTATAATTAACTATAAAATTGTTATTGTCATTGTACTTTTGCCTAACTGCTTTAGACTCCCTGTATGCTGCTTTTATGCTTTATAGAGCTCTACTTATATTGGTGTGTATCTTCTGATTTTTTTCCCCCTTCAGATGGCATTATTTCCTTTCTCACGTTTCGTGTTCTTTCAGTTTAGCTTTTAACACATATATGTTCCTTTGCTTTTTTAGAAAAGATGACTAAGTTTAAAAATAACACAGAAGCAGAAGTTGAAGAATTGAAAAAAGTCTTAGTAAGTATATAGTCTTTCCTATTAATACATAGCAATTAATTACTTTTCAAAACAGTATTGAGTCCACTGAATTAGAATCTTACAATCTAAATGCTTAATATACTTTTCACCTAAAATATAAAAAATGCTTATAAATCTGTAACATTTATTTTTACACGTCTTAATTTTTCATCATGGTGTTCATATTTAAATATGTACTGACAGCACACTTAATAAGATTGAAAAAATATATTCTGTAGCTGTAAATTTAGTGCTTTTTGGTACTGAATCACAAAGACCTAATTTTGGAAAAGATAGGCATGATATTTATTTAGTACTGAAAAGTATTCAGATATCTACTGAATTTGTAGGATGAGGCTTTGTTGTTGGTTACAATGTGTAGAACATGGGTTGGCAAGTGTGTGTGTGTGTGTGTGTGTGTGTGTGTGTGTGTTTTGAGGAAAGATTTACTTTTGGTTACAACAGTATGAAAAGATCTGACCATACACCTCTTATATATGATAAACCTTGCATGTACACTTTTACCCTTTATCAATATTTTTTGCAGCCTGTATGTAATTATTAGCAGTTTTATCATATGATGTAATGGGAGAAGCAGAGGTGAGAGATTGAAGGTCAAAAAGGCTTGTAATTCTGTAGAAGCGAAGGTAAATAAGGGGGATGATACTTTTATTTTTTTATTTTTTGCAGAACTGGGGATTGAACTCAGGCCCTTGTGCTTGCCAGGCAAGCGCTTATTCTACTGAGCCATCTCCCCAGCCCCTAATGAAGGGGAGTGGTAATAGGTGAAAAAATCACATGGCTTTTTAGTTGGGTAGAAGGGTTATTGTTGAGAGTTTTTATTTTAAGAGATTTGTGGGTGCAAGGGTGATATGTAGGAGGAAGGAGGTATACTTGGGAGGTCAAGGAAAGCTGTGAGACTGTTGGAACCTGTTAATAAATTTGTCAGCCTGTAATGTGGAAAAAGACAAGGCAAGACAGGTGTAGGTAAGATAATGAAGAACAAAGGGAATTGAAAAGACAGAGTCTTAATACAGGAGAAGATAGGTGGTGAGAGAGTATAGAATATGACAAACTAAAAATCTGAGAGGAGGAATTTAAAAAGTGGTAAAAAAGTAAGATATAATGGTATTCCTACATGAGCTTGAGTTGAAAAAACTAGACAGGGAGATGAGAGAACACACACATCAACATGATTGAAGTAAAGGGAAGGAAAAAATAACACCAAGTATCTGATGGGAGCTTAGTTCAAATACTCCAAGAAAATGTATGTGGTAATTACATGTGAATATTTTGCCAACAAGCCTGGGTGTTCACTCTATTCCCTTCTTGACTTGACTGCTGACCCACACCAGCATCACCTCTTTCCTTTCAAGTGCAAAGCCCAGACCCATTTTCAGGAATTCACTCCCCTCACTTATAGGCAGAATCTGATGCTGCTCCCTGGTCTTGCCTAGGAACCTTTCCACCCAATGGTGGTGTAATTTGTGAGCAGGTTCATTAGCAGGCCAGGACCCAGAGTACTAGGGATTCTCCTGCTCTAGTGCAGGCCCTCAGGTCTATGAATGCATTCATGTGCCCAGGAGATGGCTGCAGCTGGTGTGAGACCATGGGAATTGTCATTTCACTCTCGGGAGGAAGTGTTCCCCCTAGAAATCTGTAGTCCCCGTTTCCCCCTTATTCTATCTGCCTTGAGGTGATGTATTTGGGAGTTCGCTTGCCCTTGATCAATGCTAATGCAGAGTCTGAAAGAGATGGAGCAGCTGATGTAGAATCTTGGGAATTGGTGAGGGACTGACTGACTGGAACTTGTGCCTGTGAAAATCTTGTCTTGTTCATTTACTTTTTTTTTTCCTCTCTCTGGGGTGGTGCATAGAAGGTTCCATATGGGAGCAGTTGTGCAGTCTGCTGGAAATGACAGCGGCTGGCTTGTAACTGCAGGAATTGGCAATTCACTCCGAGGTGGGAGTGTGTACCCATGGCAATACATAGTTCCTGTTTGCCTACATGGGAGTGGAGAGTTTCATGGCCATCACTGAATGCTAGTGAGGATGTCACCAGGCTGCAATGTTTCTTGATGTTTGGATTAGAACCCAGGTGATGAATGGGCTTGTATTTACAGCCTGACCCAGGACTGTAGACTCAGCAGTGCTCACTGTTTTTGTTTCTTCCCTCAGGCTATTTGAAGTGCTGTCATGATTACTCCATGAAGAGATTGCTAGGACTTTGGAGAGGTGCACAGCAGCTTTACTGGCTCTGTTTTCTCTCTCTAGTGATCCAATACAATATTAGTTTTGGCCTATTTATCATCTTTCCAATTAATATTATGATTCAGGGTGAACAACTCTTGTATACTACAGGGTACTTGCGGTTTTGGTGAGTTCTCTCTGTGTACCCCATATGAAATTTCTCTAGTCAGCCATATTGGTTTAAGTGCCTTTTCTTTACATTTTGCCACACTTGCTATGTTTTACTTTTCTGAAAATAGTCCTTTTTCCTGGAATGTGGTCTTATATGACTTTGTATTTCCTTGTTGATTAGTGATATTGAGCATTTTTTCATATGACTTTGTATTTATCTTTTTATGTGTTTTGAAAAATTTCTACTTAGATCTATAGTCTAGTATTTTTACCATCTAGATTTTAATAGTGTTATTTGTGGGCTATATTTTATTGCTATTGAGTTAATTATATACCCTAAAAATTGACTCGTCTGATTTGTGCTTTGTAAGTATTTTCTCCAATTCAGGAAGATGTGTCTATATTCTGTTGGTTGTTTGGTGTAATCTCATTTGTCTTTTGCTTTTATTTCTTATGCTTTTGAGGTCTTGTCCAAATCTTTGCTATTGTAATGTTTCAAAGCATTTTACAGCCATTGTGGGGAAAAATGTATTTTTTCAAAGAATTAAAAGTACAATTACTTAGTGATCTCAATTCCACTAGTGAGTATGTGTCTTTGTTACTTTTTTCATGGCTGAGCCAAATACCCAGTATTCAAAATTAAAGGAGGAAAGGTTTATTTTAGATCCAAGAAAGGGTGGTATGGCAGAAGGCACCACAGAGGAAAAAAAATGGCCCATGGCAAGCAGGCAGGTGAGGGCACTTTAGTCTTTTTATCATTTACATTTTAGGGAGATTATCTGCCCTAGGGTGGGTTTAGCACACCTTTAATCCTGAGCAGAAGTATGTCAAACCAAGAGCTGGTCAGATAGCTCAATGGACTAAATCACCTTGCTTAGGCAGAGGCCAGCGGCTGAGTTGAATCTCTTGTGTGCAGTGCTGGCCCTGCCCAAAGGGTGTGCTGAGATGGCAGTAGAGACTGGGTATGGTGGCATGTGCCTGTAATCCCAGCATTTGGGAGGCTTTGAAAACAGGAGAATCACTACGAGTTTGATCTATGTAGTGAGACCCTGTAGGCCCTATAGACCCTGTACTAAATACATTAAAAAAAGTATGTCAAACCAATCAGTGGACTGATTTAGTAATCACCCTTGATGCTAGCACCACGCACTGTAGATCCAGCCATCTCTGAAAAACCTGCCCATTTGACTACATGAGCCTTTAGGTGGACATCTAGACACAAGCCGTAATAGTTTGTATCCAAAGGAAGTGAAATCATGTCAGAGACATCTGCACTCCCATGTTAATTATACATTATTCATTAAAGCCAAGAAATTGAAACAACCTGTGTCCCCCAATTTAGGAATGGGTAGAGAAATTGTGCATATAAACAACAAAATGCTGTTTAACCATACAAAATAATGAAATCTTATTTTTGTAACAATGTGGATAGATCCTGAGGTTGTTAAGTAAAATAAACTGGGAACAGAAAGATAAGTACTTAAATGACCTCACTCATATGTGGAATTTACTGAGTTGATCCCATAGAAGTCAGAATAAAATGATAATAGTATTAGAAACTAGCAAGAGTAGAAGGGATTGGGTGGGGATAGGTTGGTCATTGAGGCTAACAAACAGTTAAATATTGCACAGTGTGGTTACTATAACGATGCAGTATATATTTCAAAAATTGTTTATCTTTATGGTGATAATTTGAGGTAAATATGTTTAATTTGATATAAACATCACAGAAGATATACATGTAACAAATCATCACATGGTCCCCCATTAATGTGAATAATTTTTGATTTTGTTTTGAGATAGAATCTCACTGTGTAGGCCAGGCTGACCTCCACCCTATACTGGGCTTCCTTTCTCACATTTTTAAGTGTCTTTTAAAATGTGATTCATATTTAGACA